GTATCATTCCAATTTTAACGGATGTCCCGAAGGACTATGCTTTGCTTTCTTGATTGTAATAACCAGCAAAATTGCCGCTGTTTTGCGCTGTCGCTGTGCTGTCCGAGTCCGTGCGCTGTGTGTGTGTGGGCGTCCGAGTGCCTGTGTGTGTGTGCGTGAGGTTGGGCTGAGTGTGCAGATTAATGTGTTTTGAGACCGACGGGCCTTGTACTGACCCTGTGCCGTGTGTGGGTGAGCGGCCAGCTTAGATGATAAAGTAGGCCCATGGTAGCCAAAAGTCAAGTAGCAGCGGGGTGTAGGCAGAAAAGGACACAAAGGCAGTACCTTTGGGGTAGTCTGAAGTAGAATTTGGACGTCCGGTAGGTCTAGGGGTAAGTACCAGCCTGGGTAGGGCTAAGTCAAGAGCCTGGGGAATATCAGACTGCAATGATGTTCCCACCAAAAAGGAAGGGAACCGGTAGGCCCTGGAGGCTGCTGCTGCTCAAAAGTCACCGGGGAGGCGGACACCAAGTAAATGAGGAGTGGTGAGTCGCTCCAACTCAATTCTTCGCTGGTGCAAGCCCCCAGGCTGCTAGAGCGCTAGCTCGGCTGGTGTCGCGCACGGCAGCGGCAGCTAGAAGGAGCGACTCCCGCCCTGGCGCCAGGGTGAGGGAAGAGGAAGACATAGCTATGATGGACAGGTGCGGAGGAAGAAGGAAGGAGGAGGAAGGAGGAGGAGGAGAGTGAAGGAGGAGGCCTACCTTGCCTACGGTGGACTACATCTTCATCTCCTTGGCTGGTGCTGCACCTGGAAGGCCCCTGTTTGGATTTATGAAGTGAGGAGGACTACATCTTTTGTAGGTTTGGCGGTGGAAGTGGACAGGGCTAAAAGAGCTATGTGCTGTCCTATGAATATTCAGGCTGGACCTGGATGCTGCCGCCATAGCCAGATGCTCAACCAAGTATACGTAGGAGGTGTAGGAGGTCTAAGGTGACTTCTTGTGATGCCGACAGTAAGGACGAGATTCGGATATTGCTTCTGGCTCATTCACTCGTTGTTATTGCTGCTTTTTTTTTTTTTTTTTTTAAGATATTGGAGGAATGATGGGGGAGAGAGATGGTGGCTAGTTGAGGGAGGAGTGACATTGGTTCCAACATCTGTTCATCTTCTTCGTCTTCTTCCATTCTCCATTCTTCTTCTTCCCTTATCTATTTTTCTCTCCCGTCTCTTTCATTTGAGTTGCGATTGCACGGCCTTGTCTCTTCTTGATTTTTTCTCTGTAGGAGACCTCCAGGATCATAACATGGTGGTTTAATATGAAGTGAATTTAATCATTTATCCACTCATAGGCTTTCCTCTTCTCTTTTAAACCAAACTGTATTTTGTTTTCCAGGCTTGACGGTGATGAGCAACCGGACTGATGCCCCCCAGAATAGAAGGGGCTGGCTGTTATGTTAATAATAAAAAAAAAAAAAAAAAAAAAAAAAAGAATAGGCCCAGCCCAGGCATGGCTATGAGTCTGCTCTTGTGTCCACGTTTTACTCGTGAGACAACTTATTCTGCTTCTCCCAGATGGTTCTTCTGCCGAGACAACTTATTCTGCTTCTCCCGGATGCTTCTTCTTCTCCTTCTCCGATTTCTTCCACTCAGCTCCTCCTCTGCCCAAACAAGCGAAGCTGCATTATTGAGTTACATTTGGAAATGAAATGTTACACTGTTATTGCCATCGTAGACAAAACCTCGATTGAAAAAGTAGTGGCGAGCTTAGTACCACCAGTCTTCTCAACCAAGGATCTCGGTGACGGAGAAAACGCAGAAGCGGAGGGCTGAGCAGAGTTGTATGAGTAGCAAATATCAGGGATCAATGCCTTCCACACTCTGAGAATGACACAGAACTGACCTTCTGGTAAATCAAAAGGAGCACGATTCGTTTCCGCTAAACAAGAAATAAAAAACAGATTCAATAAAGGAAAAAGGCAGAGCAAATAATCTGATAACTTGGGAAGCTTTAAGGAGATTCTTTTGCTAATGGAAGTGGGCACTGATACAGGGTTGGGGAGTTTTGGAGCAGAAGGAAGGGAACATTGCAGCTGCAAGGGAGTTGTTCAAGTGCGCCTTACGTGTCGAGAATGCAAATACGACAACTTGGCTGACATGGGCAACAATGGAAGAGAACCTTGGGAACATATTTCGAGCTGAGGAGCTCCGCAACTTATGCGTGCAACAGGTGTCCTCCTTCACCCATTTGCTCACCCTCCTCCCTTCCCTTTTTGCATTCTCTAGCTCTCTGCAACGAACCACGCAATGAGAACACCAATAAACCGGAACGTACCGTGAGCAGAGGAGTTTGCTCTCGAACTTATGTTTGCAACAAGTGTCCTCCTTCACCCATTCTCTTGCCCTCCTCGCTTTCCCTTTTGCATGCACTAGCTCTCTGCAAGGAAGCATGCAACCAGAGGACCAATAAACCAGATTGCAATATCTCATAGAAGACCGAACATGATTGAGCCGATTTGAAAGCAGAAAACCAAAGCGAAATGCACACCAAATAGGAGCAAACAATACACCAACGTCTCTCAATAAAGAAAGCCCTTCCTCCGCCTCCAATCATCAAAACAACAGCAATGTGGTAGCTCTACTGGTAGGCTTCTCCTACTTCCTACTTCCTAGGTCCTATCATCCTAGCCTATTGACTATGTGGTAGCGCTACTGGCCGACGCAAAATGATTCAGGATCTGCGAGGGGGAAGCTCTGTGGCCTCTTGACCTGGAGGAGCTCATCCACAGTGGCCTTTAGTGCCACCACACTCTGCCACCACTGGTGCTCTATATTTAGAACCTGCCACTCGGTCTGTCTAGCGAGATTTTTGTCCTTGAACCGTTCCAACGGTGTTTGCAAGAAGTCATCTATATCGGCGACGTTAGAATACTTCACCATGTCCCTTTGGCATCCGGCTGCTTCTGCCTGGCCCAGATCAATGCATCACCTCCCAAGCATGACACCAGCATCAGTACCCAGCCCCGGTACAAAATCTTTGGGCCTAGAGGTATGTTCTCATCGCTGCCTCCCACTGACGAATGTTCTCCTCCCTCTTTCCATTGTATGTGAAAGGCACTTCACAGTCTTCACGATAATTTCTTCCCTGTTTTCCCCATCAGATTCTCCTCCTTTCCTTCCTCTCTTCCGGTCTCCATCTCCATCACCATCGTTACCTCCGCCATCTCCTCCGTTCCTCGTCATCATCTTTTGTTCAGGTTCCTTTTTAATGTTCTCCACTATCCCCACGACGTTCCCTTTGGAACGTGTCATCAACCATCCTGTAGGTTTGCTCAAGCATGCCTTCTCATCTACTCGGTGCTTCATCCTGCCGTCTGATCACCGTCTCTAACAACAGGTGCAGGGCAACAATTCCTTTAGCGGAGTGGATGGCCAGTTGGGAGAGGAGAGCCAAGTCGGGGTTGGTTTCCTTTTCCATCTGGGATTTCAATTGCTCTATCAAGGATGCCCCTTCTTGCAGCATTTTCTTTCTCTGCTCCACCTTGCTTTACTTCTTTTTCATAGCCTGGGGCTCAATCTCCAACCTTTGCGCCACCGCCTCAATCCATTTTTCTTCTCCTTCAGCGTCGGCCATGGCACCCGACAAGCTCTCTCCCTTGCTTTCTGCCTCCCACGGCAGCTGGCCTCCTTGAAAAGCATACTAGCGGCCCTCTTGAACCTCTCTAGCGTCACCTCTGAAATTTCACCACACGCCAGTCGGGGCCGGCTTGACTCCGCCTTTTCCTTCTCACCCCCTCCGTCCGTGGCCACTTTTCCAATCCTCCTTTCTCCTTCCTGTTTCACTTCCACCCTCTTCACTTCCACCCTCTTCACTTCTCCTTCTTTTCTTCTTCTCCTTCCTCCTTGGTGTCTACCTCTCTCAATTCCTCCTCCAACTTCTTTTCCTTCTCCTCCAACTCCTTTTTTTTTTCGTTTTCCTCATGTTTCTTTTTCTTCCCATCCTTTCTTTTCTTCTCCTGCCCCGCATATCGTGGGTCCCCCTGTTCTAATATTTTCTTGCCGTCTCTGAACTCTCTCCCCTCACTTTGGCCTATCCTATAGAATCCTAGGGAGAACAACATGCAAAGTAGTAGTTCCCAGATCACCAAAAGAGCGAAAATGGGGTCGTCATCCATGACTGTCAGAAGCACAACGGCGGGTCAGATGATGGACTCTGTTTCGCTCCCCTACCTGCCACTGAATCTCGCCTCACACCATAACCTCACCACTTGATACTATTGACTTCAACACACTACACCCTTCCCAGCTATGGCCGTCACTACAGGTCCCCCAACGACATTAGTCAAGTCAACCAGCAATTTCAGGACTGTCAGCAATGTTTTCATGAATTATTTAACACCACAAACAGGACGGAGTGGCTTGACAACGAAGTAGGTTCCCTCTCAAGACTTAGACAGACCCCTCGCTGAGTGGCACAATTCACCAGCACGCCAGTCAGTAACGTTCTTAGGGCTAGCCGGGTTGTTTAACGAGCACCACCGCTCTATGCCCGTGCTTCTACTTTACATGGTCGCCTGCCAGCTGTCAAGTCCCTACCCTAGACCTGAGTTGACGTCACCAGAAATTTGATACCGGAGTTGACATCAACAGAAATTTGACAACAGAGTTGATGTCAGCAAAATTTGAACTCCAGAAAGTTGAAAGGGATTAACAAGCTTTTGGATCTTATGGGAAAGACTGGTAGAATTTACAAAATAAAGCAAACAATTGCAAAATTGACAAGGGCTAGGGTTAAGGAGCACTTCACGACATTCATGCAAGTCTGTTGTCGACGGTTGCTGCTCGATGAAGATTCAGGTGAGCGCCTCCTTCGCCTCTTCTTCATCCTGCCTCCCAGTCTTCCCCACTGCAGTCAACTCCCCCTGAACCCCCACCGGCCTGAATTGATGCCGGCCCCAAATCCTTCGTCCAGGGTGGAATGAGAACACGCTCTGATACTAGTGCGATGAACCAGCTCAAATTGAACTCCAATCGCAACCATGCATCACACCGTGTTTCACACGGAGCACTCAAACAAGGCAGCGAGATAGCAATTAGCCAGAAACTGGAATGATTCTTCCCAAAACAACAAAACTATCCAAGTTTCAAGTTCATAGTATATGTGGCTACGGCCGCCAGCTCATCATCCTCACTCAGGTAAGTACCCTCTCTCTCTCTCTCTCTCTCTCTCTCTCTCTCTCTCTCTCTCTCTCTCTCTCNCTCTCTCTCTCTCTCTCTCTCTCTCTCTCTCTCTCTCTCTCTCTCTCTCTCTCTCTCTCTCTCTCTCTCTCTCTCTCTTTTTCTTGTATCTCTCAGTCTCCTCACTTGGATCGCTCATTCGCACCCTTTGAATGCACTCACCTCTCTCTCTCCTACTACCCTATCAGCTATGGTGGTCGTCCTCTTCCTTGCTAGCCCTAGCTATGGCGATGTTGCACGAGCGTCTTCCTCAATCTCCGGGACTAGCCTACCCGTATGGCCACACAAGCGTTCAGCAGAGCTTCTGCGAAATGCAAATTAACAAGTGAGTCCTCCAAAGCAGTGTAGCTCTATAAATGGCTGATGAGTTGTGATCTTTGTCGTCTCCAGACTAGTAATGGTCTCCCAAGGCCTGTCGGCTGCAACTGAAGACCCTATATGCTGACTCGTCACAGCCGCAATACTCGGATTCTGAGCAGCGCCTCCGGAGGAGGCATTTCTGTGCCCATGGCAGACCTTTGCTCACTCATCTCCCTTTTTAAGTTCCCTCTCTCCCCCTTGTCCCAAATGTTGGGACATTATTGGTTGCTGTTGAGCCTCTCTCCTAGTTACTCTGTGGTCATCAGCTCCTGCCTATGGCCATCGCTCGTATAAAATTAAAACAACTGATCTTAGCACAGGGACAGCCTGTACTACCTTCCACCGTTCAGTAGCTGATTGGGTGTGAGCTGTCAGTAATGACCCAAAATGACTTTGGATATACTACCGGCAGTGCTATAAATACTCCCCAATCTATTACAACTACAGTTAATCTCTAATTAGTTCGATACAGAGTAGTCACGCCGATGCTCTGCGCCCCTAGATTGGTCGGCGACCGACCACGGTTCCACCGATCGGCACCTACTGGTCGGCAGTCAGTAAGCACCCCGAAAAAAGAAAGGGAGAAAAAAAAATTGTGGGGTCCATAACCCCCAATAACACCACCAATACCTTTGTACACCTCCCAACACCTTTATACACCCCGCTGATACCTCCATACACCTCCCTGAGTTTCTCAGCGGATTTGGGCTGTACTGTACTGCATACTCAGCAAGCGCAGTACAGCCCAAATAAAAAAAAGGAATCAGTGGATGGCCCTCTAGTGACTGGTCGGCAGACCACCTACGGGTCGGCCCGACCGGTAGGCTAGAAAACCATCGGCCGTCTGTGTCGGCGGTATCCCGTAGGCGGTCTGACAACCGTGGTTCTATACAAAACAATGCAGAGATTTGTAATTACCCAAGGCCATGCTTGCGGAATCGCACACAAATTATGAATGAACACACTGAACACAAGCCGAACTTTGAAAGCAGAAGTACACAAGCCGAGAGCATACCAGCACGCCAAACACTGTAAGTCGGTTGACAAAGAAACCCCACTTTTCGCCTCCGGTGATCAATGCAACAACAATGTAGCAGCCCTACTATGGTGTGTCCGCCTATACTACTCTCGGAGGCCGCCCACCACAGCCGATTCATTTTGTCTACGGCGCTCGGCCCCCTAAATTTTCGGAGAGGCTCAAAACAGGTTCTCCAGTTGCATGGGGCCATGTACTGGTGTGGCTTAAGGGAACTCAGTTGCTTCTGTCATGCCTCAAGATCCTGACTTTGCACTGTGATGTACGGGGCTTTGTGCTGATTGCGTGAATATTTGATCCGTTCTGTAACTTCTGTTGCTTAAACTTTTGCTTTTGCACCGATTCTGCGTCATTGTGGAATGCACTGACTGTGTCTTGCGTTCTCTGTGCATTTTGCTTTGTAGCGCGTCGATGTCGATCTCAAGAAGGCATCCTGGGAGTCCCAGCTGTCAGAACTGATCAGGCCTGCTGTGGATAAGTTGAAGGCATTGTTTCAGCTGAGACCGAATTCTTTATCCGATGACAGAAATGAGTACTATGTGGATGAGAATGGTGATCTGATCGAGTCGGCACGTGTTGACGTTGACCGAGTTCTTCGAACCGATGGCGAGGAGCAACTGCAAGCTCTTAATGCTCCAGGTGTCCTGCTGGATGTGGCTGGTGAAAAGCAGGGAGTCGAAGGCAATAAAGTAGCAAAAAGTACTCCACTCCAAGAATTGTAAATTTCATTAACTCTTTGCGGCGAGCTCCTCGCTCCTCGCTCCTCGTTCTTGACACCAGCTCCTTAGCGTAGCGAAGGTGGGACGGTAACCCTCTCTCTCTCCAGCCATCATCCCAATGTATGTCGTCGTGATTAGAAGATAGAGGCGAATACTTCGGGGATTTTGCAATCGCAGTCGATACTGTCGAATTTAATTTATGAAAACGAGTTATCATCCTTAGTGACGGTTGTCGGTTTGTCTTCTTTCTTCACATTCCATTTTCAAGGAAACAGGTTCGCATAACGGCTAGCAAGTAGGGGCGTGTTTTCAACAACAACAACAAAAAAAAAAAAAACAGGTGTTAGCTAGCACTGACTGAAGGAAGCGTGAATGCGGTGAATTGAGGCAAAATGTAATGGTGTGTGTGTGTGTGTGGAGGAGAAGACTAATGGTGTGTGTGAATGCGGTGAATTCCACAGGCAGCTTCTCTTTAGCTTCTAAATTTATTCGGAGTTCCGTCTGTGTGGAGGAGAAGACACAGAGTGCACGACGGTTATCATTTGTTTATTATCCTTTTTTTTTTTTTTTTTTTTTTTTCTTTTTTTTAAATCCTGACTTTCTGATTTAGAAGCTAAAGAGAAGCTGCCTGTGGAAATCTGAAAAGGCTCTGTAGTTGCTTGGACAAAGTTATTTGAGCTCAGTTGGTACGCGCACCAACTGTTGAAATACAGCCCCATGTTCGAATCCAGATGCAATTAAAGAAAAAAAGTGGAAAAGTATTTCATAATTTTTCATTCCGCATTGAATCCTCAACTTAACGGGAGAAGACCGCATTCAGAGTTCTGGTCCGCCACATTCCGATCCGAGTGTGATGGGAAATCAGGGACACCAAACGGCAGATGGAGATGTCGGCGAGTTCCGCATGGCTTGATCGAACTCCGACTCCCCGAGTCGAACTCTGAATGTGGGTATACGCTCTCGTCTTTGGGAGCTTACACCATTCAGTGGGCGCCATGCACCGAATCATTTGGTAACCGGTTGGCACTCTTTTCCAGAGGAGATGAAACGAGCGTCCCAGCACACAAGGCTACCGCCTCCACCCAAATAGAATGCCCAGTTATTATTTATCGCTGCATGTGGACTGAAAGTTGTGCCAGATACGGCTATAATGACCGGGCGTTCTGTTCGGGTGAAGACGGTTGGCAGTTGGCTTTTTGGTTGTGGTTTGACATCTGCCCTTGCCTGCATTAGAGGCAACAAGGAACTGTATGGCGTGGGGCAGCTTTCCTCTGGTCAGTGGTTGTGTGTATTTGCCTTCTTCCATGGCTGTCCGTCTTCCGAAAACTGTTTTCGTTTCCGACCCCTCTTTTGGCCGTTGAGTTCTTCTCCATTGGTCCAAGAGAGAGTCCCACAGTCCCAAGTCCTGCTTACCACAGATGCTGCTGCTCACGTGTATTGTGAAGCGGCTGGTGTTGTTCAGGTGTCCTCCTAACCCGTAGGAGTGATTCAGGGCCTCGCCACACGGCACACGAGACGAAAACGAAACGAGTGCATCTGCCAACGGAAGGTGGCAAAATACACTCGTTACTATTTATAGCAAACTGACGAACCTGTCCCTTTTCTGCCGGAAGATGCACTCGTTTCGTTTTTCGTTTCGTGTGCCTTGCGGCGACGCCCTCAGGCTCGTCTTTCACGGTTGTGGTGTTCTTCACTGGTCCCAGAGAGTCCCAAGTCCTGCACCTTAGCACCGCTGCTGCTCAAGTGTATTATTCAGAAACGGCGGTGTTGTTCAGGTGTACTCCTTACCTGTAGGCGCTGAACAGGTGTATTCCCGGCCTCGTTGCAAAGCGACTTCAAGTGAGTACAATGATATGAAGAGTGCATCATTGTTTTGTAAAAGTACGTGTGTGGAACAGAATGCCATTCTGAGCATTTCAAGTTAGTTGCAATAATGTGAATGCTTTTTTTTCTTTTTTCTTTTTTTTTTTTTCTTTTTTTTTTGCTAACTCTTGCCAACTCTTAATTCAACCTTCGAGCCAGAGCCTACTCAAACAACCACTACAGCCGAACCTCTTTTTGCGGAGGTGGAGTACAACTGCACACGAAGCTTTTGCCGAGGGACAAGCGCAACCTTTTTTGTTTTCTTTTGGCTTTCGCTGCCAGCCATTTTGGTCTGCTACCGCCAGGCCTCCGCCGGCGTCCGAAGTCTGTGGTACAGGTTATATTTATATTTACGACTTCGCCTGGCAGCCGGAAAGGTAATGGTGGATTAAAATAACATTTCATACACACACACACACACACACACACACACACACACACACACA